TTACTTTGCCATCTCATTCGGTTACCCTGGATTCGAACCACCCCTCCCCCTTTGACGGCGCCCTCGCTCGAATTACTAGCGCCGCCAGTCGCTTTCTATCGCAGACCTCCCCCTACGCCCTCCGCTCACGCGGACCTCCTCCGACCCTCCCTTGTCTGGCCCATTACCTCCCCACAACCGACGACGTGTCACAAGCCGCCGAGTAGGGGACGACCACGGGATCGGGCTCCACACCCGTGCCGACGGACTAGGGCCACCATCCCTAGGGGGACCTGCACACCCTCATCACCTCCCTCCTCGCGCCCATTCAGGCACAGGTGGCGACCCTTGCCACCGGCATGCGGCAACTCCAGGACGCTGCCTGTCCTTCATCTCCTGCCTCTCTCTCTTCTGTTAGCTTCCCGTCTGAGTCCCCATTCCTCCGACGGGGTGGCCACGGTGGAGCTTCCTCCTCCGCTGCCCCCGACCTGATCATCTTGGTGACCGTCCACGCCCCTAGCTCGACGGCCGCCATGAGTCAGGCCCTCCCTCACCCTACGGGCGCACCCGCCCAGATTCCGGTTACTACGGCCACGGGACCACAACCCGCTACCATAGTCTCAACTTTTCCGGGTGCCCCGCTTCTTCCTCCCCTTCGCACGACCGCAACGCCACCTGACTCTCCCTCCTCTTGGATGCCCCGCGCCGCTCGTGCGTCCACTTCCCCCACTCTTCCTCCTGCCACTCCTCGCTCGATCTACGTCCAACGTCTCGAGGACGAGCGTGCCCAGACACGGGCCGACCTCGCCCTCTTATGCCTTCATCTACCCCCACGCTCACAGGTGGCCGCGCCTTCAGGCGCACCCCCTTCTTCCTCCACCCTTCCTTCCATGCAGGCTCGCTTCCCTCGCCCTACACCCTATCCACCCCCAGCCTACCTCCTTCCTACTCCCCCGTCTGCTGTGACCTCTTCGACCACAACTCCCTCGCAGCTTGCCGCTGTTCCCCCCTCCGCTCCACCATGCGGCCCGGGTGGACAGTCAACTGCACCCCGTTCTCCAGGACCTACGCCGACTTACTCAGCCGTAGCACAGACCTCTGCTCCTCGATCCCCTCATCGCCAAAACAGTGGCGCACCACTCGTCCGCTTGACGGACATTGCCTTGTATGACGGTACAGGCATACGCGTGTCTCGGTGGCTACAGTCTGCCACCCGCACCCTCCAGGTTATGGGCGCCCCACCCGATACGTGGGTGGGTCACCTCTCCACTCGCCTGCGTGGTGGTCCTTTTGACGCCTGGGAGGATTTTTACGCTTACTCCCTTCGTGCGGGTCGAACTCCGACCTTCATGGATTTCCCGGCGTTCCTCGAGGATCGCTTTGGAGCCCGACACGACGTGACTGACGCCTTCGAGCGTGTCGTCACTACACGCTAGTCAAGCTCTGGTGGCGCTGCCGGCTTGGATCGCCACATCCTCGTCTTTCAGGATGCCCGCCTCATTTGCGATGTGGCGTTCCTTCCCGAGGCTGCCCTTATCAATCGTTTCTTGGTCAGCCTTCCCCTCGAGTACCGCTCCGAGCTATGACGGTACGAGTTCACATCGGCCCCGCAAGCTTACGAGGCCGCCAGGGACCATCAGCGGACGCGGGCCCATCTTCACCCCGCCTCCTCCTCCCAGCCTCAGCGCAATCGCTATGCCTCCTCCTCCTCTCACGACAAGTCCCAGCGTGGTTCCCCTTTCCGCGGTCGCCTCCGTCGATCCGCGCAGCAGGGCCGCCACTTCTCGCGCCGCTTCAGCGCGCTCGAGTATGGTGAGCAGGACGCTGTTGCCCCGATGTCGCCAGAGGGTGACCATAGCGACGACCTCGACCTCCGCGATGTGGTCCACCACCACCTGGAGGACTCTACTCTCCCTGTGGCCAAGCGCCTCCAGCTCATCCTCTCCGCCCTCTCCCGGGCACACAGCCGTTCCGGTCACGCTGACTCGTCACCTCCCGAGGTCCCTCATCAAGACCTCCCTCAGGGCTTTGTCCCTCCTCGCGGTGTTCTTTTCTCTGAGGAGCGCGCGGCTATTTTGAGTCGGCGTGGGTGTTTGCGATGTTGCCAGGATGGTCATACCTCATCGCGGTGCCCTTACACTGCCGCCCTCGACCGCCACTACGCTGACCTTTCTCGCCAGCGTCCTGCTCAGTCCCCCTCCAGCACCTTGCATCCCCGCGGTGCCTCCTAGCCACAGTCCAGTGTACAACTGCGCCCTCCTCAGTAGTCGGCTTCCCGACATCCCCGTCACGGTTTGCCCCTCTTGCTACTGGAGTTGAGGTATCGCATGACCCGACAGAGTGTACTCAGCCCTCTGTCGAGCTACCGTCTGCACCTCCGCAGACCACCGTCTCCCCTCCTACCCCGCCACGACTACCGACGGGGCGAGCCATTCACTCAGCCCGATGCAGCGAGCAGCTTGCGACTCGCAAGGACGTTGTGTCCTCTCTTCTGGACTTGAGCATGCTCCAGGCTCGTAAGGAGCGACTCACCCTCCATGTTGCCACAATGCGTCGCCTTCTCACCATCCTCTCTGACCCTGATCGCACCCTCCCGATCATTCCAGTACGACTGGGGACCTCCACGAGGGTGTACTCATCGCTGTGGGATTCCGGTTCTCAGGGCGACTTCATTCATCCACGTGTGGTGAAAGAAACCCGCTTACCCACGACAGGGTCTCCGACTCCCATCTCTGTCACCCTCGGGGATGACAAAACCCAGCGCTTCTTCGATCAGACGGTCACCGACCTCCCTTTCTTCCTCACTCTCGAGCCGACTTATCGTCCTCCGGCGTCTCGTCGTCACCGCTCCTCCGCACATTTCGATGTGATGGAGACGGGGTACGATTTCATTCTCGGTACTCCGTGGTCTCGTCGGTTCCGCAGCACGGAGGCCGATTGGGCGACCAACACTCTCGTTCTCAAAACGAAGTGTGAACAGATGTATCGCGTACCTTTCATAGGTACCACTGCGACACCACGCCCCGATCCTCCACCCCCGGAGCCTTCCGTGCCTACACCATCTCCTTCTATCACTGTCACTTCACCTCAACTGTTTGCTCACTTCATCCGACAGGACGACGTCACTTTCTTTATGGTGAACGTTACGGATCTTTTACACTATGATCCACCCTGTCCCGACGCGGAGCTCATCCCTCTGGAGCCAGATCCTCCTTCTATCTCCATGGCTCCCATCTCTACTTCCCACCCTCCGTCGTCCGTCAAGTCCACCCCGTCCTCTCGCGCTGACACTGACGCTGAGGAACTCGCACGATATACGGATGACCTGGAGCCTGCAGTTCGTGACCTCATTTGAGAGTACCATGACGTATTCCCATCGCCGTTCTCGTACGCCGGCGTCCCACCGACGTGCGACGTCGAGTACTCCATCCAGCTTGTGCCTGACTATCGTGTTCACCACCAGACACCCTACAAACTCTCGATCCCCGAGGCCACTGAACTCAAGCGTTAGCTTGAGGAGCTCCTGAGACTGGGTTTCATTAAACCCATCAACTCCCCGTCGGGTGCACCCGTCCTATTTGCTCACAAAGTGGATGGAACTCTCCGTCTTTGCATCGACTATCGCGGTCTTAACCGCTACACGGTTAAGAACAGCTACCCCATGCCTCATTCCGATGAGCTGTTCGACCACCTAGCAGGCAACCGCTTCTTTACGAAGATTGACCTTCGTAGCCGTTACCATCAGATCCGCATCGCTGCAACGGACCAGCCGAAGACAGCGTTCCGATCGCGCTTCGGCCACTATGAGTTTACGGTGATGCCATTCGGCCTCACCAACGCACCCGCTACCTTCCAGAGGGTGATGAACGACATCTTCAGGGACATCCTGGAGCAGTACGTTCTCGTCTACCTCGACGATATCCTAGTCTACAGTCATACCCTTGAGGAGGACACCTCCACGACGTCCTTGACCGCTTGCGCAGACATGGCTTCTACGCCAAGCTGGGCAAGTGCCGCTTTGCCCAACACAAAGTGGATTTCTTAGGACACTACGTGTCTGACCAGGGTTCCCACATGGAAGACGCGAAGATCACTGCTATTGCCGAGTGGCCCGTCCCCACATCCGCCAAGCAGCTTCGCAGCTTCCTAGACCTTACCAGCTACTATAGTAATTTCATCCAGGGATACGCTAGGTATTCGTACGTCCTTACCTCCACCCTCCTCCGGAAGAATCCGCCATGGGCTTGGACACCCCTCCACGAGGACGCCTTCCGCGCCCTCAAGAAGGCGGTGACATATGCACCAGTTCTTCACCTACCCAATTTTGATCGTCCGTTTATCCTTACCACTGATGCGTCAAACTTTGTTATAGGAGCAGTGCTTTCGCGGATTTTTCCCTCCTCTACTGATTCCTCTCATCCTCGTATCCCTCGCTTCCCACCCCCTAACCCTACCACTGCTTCCTGCCTGATGCCTACTCATCCAGCTACTAACGAGCCTTCTATTGACTATTCTCCTACCATCGTCGAGGACGACACTGTCGAATCTCGCTCAGGTGATTGTCCGATAGCCTTCTACTCTCGTCAGCTCCTGCCCGCCGAGATAAACTACACTGCTGATGAACGTGAGGTTCTCGAAGTAGTTTATGTCGCTCGACATTGGTGTGACTACCTGCACGGGGCACCATTCACGGTGCGGAGGGAGAACTCCGTTGTCCAGGTTTTTCTGACAAAACCGAAGCTCACTCCTCGACAGGCTCGCTGGTGGCGCGACCTATTCGAGTTTAGTTTCACCACTGAGCACATCAAGGGTGAGACTAATCGGGTCGCAGATACCTTATCCCGACGCCCCGACCACGACCAGGAGCAGATCCAACTCTCTTCCATCTCGGTCACCACCGTCCACCACTCGGTGATCGACGAGTTTCACACTCAGTACCGCCACTGCCCCGACTATCTCGACATCCACGCGACCCTTCGGAGTGGCAAGACCGTCCCGAACCACTCTCTCGGGGACAACGGTCTTGTATACTGGCACAGTTCATAGGGCATCAGGGAGCCCCGTATTTGCGTTCCCTCCACTGGACAGCTACGTGTTCGAGCAGTAGCAGAGTTCCATGACTAGGCAGTCGCCGATCATATGGGCTTCCACAAGACGTTGGCTCGTGCGAGCCGCCTGTAGGTCTGGCCGAAGCGCAAGGACTTTGTGAAGGACTACGTCGCAGAGTGTCCCACCTGTCAGGAGGTGAAAAGTGTGAACCACCTTCCTTATGGTTTGCTCCAGCCTCTTCCTATCCCTGAGGGTCGTTGGGAGTCTATCTCGATGGACTTTATCAGTTATCTTCTTCCTCCGACCCCTCACGATCATGATGCTATCCTGGTCGTTGTCAACCGCTACACGAAGTGTGCACGCTTTGTTCTGTGCCGCTATGCCATTAGTGCATGTGAGGACACCGACATCGTGTTTGACCGAGTCGTGCGTGACCACGGCTTACCTGTGAGCATCATATCTGACCGTGACCCGCGCTTTATCAGCCGATTCTGGCGACGGCTCCACGAGGTGTACGGCACTCAGCTCCGCTTCTCCTCGTCTTACCATCCTCAGACTGATGGTCAGACCGAGATCACAAATAGGAATCTCGGAGATACTCTTTGGAAGATTGTTCGTGACGACCAGCACTGAGATCTCCATCTTGCCCACGCGAAGATAACCTACAACCACACCGTCTCGCCAGCCACGGGGATGTCGCCCTACTATTGCGACCTTGGCTATCACCCTCGTGTTCCCGCGGACTTTCTTCGACCGTCACATATGCACCCCAACACGAGTTGTCCCGCGTTGGATGATTGGGTTGCACACATAACGTCGATCATGAAGACCGCACATGAGCACATAGCCACCTCCCAGGTTCGCATGGCCGCACGTGCAAACCGATCAAGGATGGATCATCCATTCAAAGTCGGTGATGATGTGCTTATCGACGCCCGCCACTTACAGCTCGAAGCGGACACGCTTCGCAAGTTTCGGCGTCGCTTCTTTGGCCCATGCCGCATCCTCCAGGCCGTCGGTTCCGATACGGCATCTAGCCCGGTCAACTTTCGTGTGAAGCTGCCCGACTACCTACGCCAGGGTCGTGTGCACGATGTCTACCACGTCTCGTTACTGCGTCCTTACCGCAGACCGTCTGAGCGTTTCGATGGATGACCATACGAGCGCCCTCTACCCATCATGGTGGACAGCCATGAGGAGTCCCTCGTTTCAGATATCATTGGTCGTCGAGTCACCTACGACAACCCTCCCCACGTCGAGTATCATGTACGTTGGAAGGGTTACCCTGATGAGGAGGCTACCTGGGAGCCCCTCGAGCACTTGCAGCACACTCGCATGTTGGTGCGTGCCTACGACCGTGCTCGTTGTGTTGGGTCGACTTCTCCCCCTCAGCCCACTGACCCTCCTCCTTCTCCCTCGGTCTAGGAGACGGTCTAGGAGACCGCTGAAGTCGAGCCTGCTCCATCTGAGGCAGACCTTCAGCAGCAGCCGGATGCTTCTGAGCGTCCACAATGCACTCGTCGTCGTCTTGCTCGATACGACGATTGACTCTAACCTATCTTCCCACGTCTTTGACTTCTAAGTACTCCATCCACTCCAGTTTTGCCACTTCAACTTGTCGACGTTGCAGCTCTTCCTCGACGGCATTCCGGACTTCTCATTATGGATGTCATCGGCAGCTTCATGGACTTCGTCACAATCAGCTCTGCCTACTTCAGACATTATCACTCTCTTACCACCTTACCCTGTACAGTACCCTGGTTGTGTCGCATGTTGGTCTCCCTTTAGCCGGGTTCCTCTGAGTTGGGCTCTCCCTTGGTATGCGCATAGGTATCGGGACTGTAGCGTTGCCCTGGCTTCCCATCTTACGGATCTAGCTCCGACTTCCCTCACTTTAGGAGTCATTTGCATGATTCCCTTACCCATCACCTTCCTACCCTCTGCCGGCCGTGATGCCCTAGTTAGGCAGCCTCGCATGCTTCATCTAGGTGCGCCCAGTATACCAGGCTCCCTTGTTCCCTTACATGGTCGACCCTCCATAGCGGTCACCCCTTTCGCTGAGCGTTACCCGCCCTGATGATCTATCTGTTAGGGTCATTGGTTTTGTTCGCTCCCAGTCCCCTACCCTCATTGAGCCTGATGACATGTGTTCCCCCTGTCACTATGTTTGGATACCCTTAGGAGTTATCGACCCCTAGGCTACATTCGCCACCCTCAGAGACCATCCCACCCTTTGGTTTGCGGCACACTTCTCTTGTGACATATGTTTGTCTTGTGGTTGCTTTGTTGCTCTCAGACTGAGGCTACTGCCTCTGACCTTTCTACGATTTAGTTGTTCTGCTTTTGTTGTTCTTAGGACTTATACACTAGTCAGTTGTTTCCAAACTGAGGCTACTGCCTCCAACATTCTAGGCTCTAGTTGTCATTACCTTCTGCTTTCCTAGGACATGTATGTTAGTTAGTTGCTTCTGCTTTCCTAGGACACGTATGCTAGTTAGTTGCTTCTGCTTTCACTTAGGCTGTTAGCTGTGACATTGCTATTTTATGACATTTTCTATCCTAGGTTGCATCGCCTGGAATCACCATGGAGCTTGCTCCGCATCCTAGACTACTCAGGTTTTTTTTTCTTTGGTAGAGTTCCGCTTGTTGGCGGAAGCGTACTTGTATCTAGGCGATCCATCACAGGCCGAGGATCAAGTAGCAGACCTCTGGTTGGTCTGTGAGACCAGCCCCTTGGCCTGTCCTTAGAGGCCTGTGTTGTATTCGGGGCAGTCCAATCCAGGCCGGTACCTCTGTCGGTACCAGCCAGTCCAGTCCAGTCCCGTCAGTCCGCTAAGATATACCCAGTTGTTGTCTGTTTTCGGGCTCATTCTACATTCACACAGTTTGGAGTACGTCCGTTGGAGTCCGGCGTGGGAGCTACGATGTGCCATCTCGCTCCCCCTTCTTCCTCCATCTCCATCTCTATCTACGGCGGAGCACCACACCTG